GGTGCCCAGACTGTGGCCTCCCCTGGGACGGGCTGTGTCCCCATGGGGACCTCAGACCTGGCTCCCAGCGACCCCCCCCCTGGGGAGGAGGGTGGGCAGCGGAGGTGGGTCCCCAGGCCTGGCTGTGGCCCCAGGCCTTTCCCCTCAGAGGCCGGGAGGCCCAGGCCTCTCCACTCCCTCCCGGTGCCAGGGAGGAGCAGATGGCATCCTGTGACCCGCTCCTCCTCCTCCTCCTCCTCCTCCGCCGGCCCGTGTCCCAGTCCCTGTGTCCCCGGCCCGGCCCGGGCGGAGGGCGCGGAGGGCCGGGCGCCGGGCACGTGCCGTGTGTTGTGCCTCCAGCCTGTCTGCGCATCCCACATGTCCCTCTGCTCCACTTTCCCGGGTTTTTATTGTCTCTTCTAAATAAAGTTGAAATGTGTTGAGTGAGAAAAACTTGTTCTATTTTTCTGAAGGAAGAAAAGACAGGGCAGGCAGCAGGCGGGAGGGAGGAAGGTCTGTGCTCCTGCGCTCCCCTCCCTACGTTCCCCCCTCTTCTCAGGGGCCCAGCCTGTCCGCAGGTGACAGCGGACAGGAGCACCTGCTGGGGCTCCCCTACCCCAAGCAACGCCCTGCCCTTTGCCCCTGCCTGGAGCGGGGTGGGGCGTGGGAGACTAGACCCGACCTCAATGTCCAAAGAAGGGGTCACTGGGTATCTTTCTACCCCAAGAATGATACTTGCCACCTGCAAGTTCTATGGAGATTCGCTTACTCATCTGTTCATTCACCCATGAACCCAACAGAAACCCAATTCCTACAGAGCCATTCAAAAAGCACCCTATAAAGCATCCCACATGTGTGTGTGGGGTGTGTGTGTGTGTGTGTGCACGAAACTAATATTGTAAAGCGTTTACCGTTTACAAGGCGCTTCAATAAAAAGGAGCGCTGGCATTTCCTGAAGCCTCACTATTGCTGGCCCTGTGCTGACCTCATTACATGCATCATCCCATTTAATGCTCACCACCGCCCTAGGAGCTGCAGCACAATTACCCCATTTTATAGACGGGGAAATGGAGGCTGCGAGATGTGACGGGACTTGATCCAGGCACTCAGCCTTCTGGAAAGCTGGGGAAAGTGGGGTTGGCCAGGAACCAGAGCCCAAAGCATGTCAGGCCACCAGAATGCCACACAACTGTGGGGGCTGGAGAAGGGCCCCGTGTCCGGATTGGAGACTCCGCCCCTTAGGGCGGTAAAGCTCTGCCCCTCCTCAGGCCCATCCTGGTTCCCTCTCCGCAGTGGCCAGAATGCCCCAGCCCCTCTGCCATAGGCAGGGTTCTACGTCCCAGACCACACCCATGGGCGGAGCAAGCTCACCATCAGCTTCTCCGGGGAGACCACTGAGGACTGTGGGATGTAGAAGGAGTAGGGCTGGGAGTCCAGCCCCCGCTTCTGCTCTCCGCCGCCTGGGTGTTCCTAGGCAGGTCAGCTCCCCTCCATGGGCTGCTGAAAGGAGTTGGGACTTGTTTATTATTATTATTATTATTATTATTCAATTGGGATTTTAAAAATATTTATTTTGTATTGATTTCAGAAAGGAAGGGAGAGGGAGAGAAATATGGAAACATCAATGATAGGCTCTAGCCGGTTTGGCTCAGTGGAGAGAGTGTTGGCCTGCAGACTGAAGGGTCCCACTTTCCATTCTGGTCAAGGGCACATGCCGCTGTGGGCTTGGTTCCCAGTAGGGGGCGTGTAGGAGCATGTTTCTATCTCTCTTCCTCTCCCTTCCTCTCTGACATAAATTTTTAAAAATACATTTTTTTTTTTTTAAAAAAGGAACATCAATGATGGGAGATGATCATCGATTGGCTGCCTTTTATATGCCGCACATTGGGGATTAAGCCCACAACCCGGACATGTGCCCTGATGGGGAATTGAACTGTTTTGTGACCTGATTCATAGGTCGATGCTCAACCACCAAGCCACGCCAGCTCTGCTTTTCTGAGGCTCCTTATGGTTCCCATCCAGAGCCTAGGAGAGCCTCCTCCGGCGACACCAGCCCCTCTTCCTCCTCCTCCTCCTCCTCCTCCTCCTCCTCCTCCTCCTCCTCCTTTTCCTTCTCCAAGGCCTCCTTCCCCAATGGATGTGCCTCCTTTTAGAGCCAAGCTCCTCTACCAAGCACCGGCTCGGGGTCCTAACAGCCCAAGAGCCCTCCGAGGCTCCTAGAGGGAGGAAACAAAATCTATCCGGGCTGAGGGTGAAGTCCCCACCTCTGCCCCACACAGCGCCTGGCACACGGTCGCCATCAAAGTGTGTGTGTGTGTGTGTGTGTGTGTGTGTGGTTAAGGTAGAATTGAAATCAAATAGTCTGGGCACGTGTAATCTGGAAGACAGGGAGAGGGACGGGAAATGTGGGGCTGACACACAGATGCCTGAATCAGAGTGTGGGCAGGGCACTCGCTACGCCTGGCTCTGATGGCCCGCTCACACACACTGAGTAGGGTGTGTACCCATTTTCCCCACCAGAGTGAGGAACAGGTGTGTGTGTGTGTGTGTGTGAAGTTACCTCCCTCAACCCATGCCATTTGCATCTGAGTCTGGCCCATAGAGAGCCAGTGAGAGGGAAGGGTGAAAGTGAGCTGTAAGATAAGCCCAATGTTAAGATAACCCTTTCTTATCAAGACACGTCTGACCCACCTGCCCTTGGTCACTCGGAACTGTTGCACTTGGCTTCCGTGCTTTCAGTATTTTTGTATTTATTTTTGTTTTTTGCAGGGAGAGGAGAAGGCTTGAGTCTCCTCCGAGAACTTTAGGCCATTCCCAGGCCAGCCCCTCCCCCCCCCCATACGGGAGTCAGAGGCCAGGAGAGGAAGATGCTGGTGGGATGGCCGCCTGTCTAGCAGGGGGAGGGGATGGTGGCGGGGAGGAGGGAGGGGTTTCTGGGTTAGGAATCCAGACTGAGACCCTCTCCCCCACCCCCAGATGGCGGGTGCTGAGGCTCATCCCCGGATTCCTTGCTACTCCACCCCAACATAACATGCCCCAGACACGCGAGGAAGCCTCTCCCATCAGCTGACTCCACAGATACACACACGTCCCCACAGACACACACACGCCCATGCAGCGGCTCAGACATCCAGGCGAGTCTTCCCTTTTCTCTGTCTCTTTCCCTGGGTTTGAATTTCGTTCAGCCACATATGTTGTGTGCGCGTGAGGGTGGGTGGGGGAGGGGCAGACAGGGATGAGGGATGGCATGGTGCCAACATCTACCTATGGGGCTTGGGCCAGGGACGCCCCCCACAGCCACCCTGGGAGGGGCCTCAGCTGTCCCCTCGTAGCCAAGGGGACTCTCCTGGGGGTGGCAAGCACAGAAGTCCCTTCTCAGGACTTGAGGGTCTGGTCCCTGACCCACCTTTGGGGGCCTGCGAGGGGAAAGATGGGCAGAGCAGGACCCCAGAGGGAGCATGGAATTCGGGGCCACCCCCCTCCCCATTTCCAATCCTGCCACCCCATTGTTCCATGTGGGGGCTCTATGGGGGGGGCAATTCCTCCCCCTCCCTCTCAATCCCTGCTTCCCCTGCTTTGGGCGGAGAGGGGAGGGCAGCAGAGATATTTATTTATTTCCTTTATTTATTTAATTTTTTTTTTTTTTTGGAGTAGAGAGTGACAGATGGCGGCGGGTCCCGGGGGAGCCGGCTCTCCCCCAATGCAGACGCATGCCAATCACCGTCTCTCATGTGATAGCTGCTGCCCGTGACGTGCCAAGCCCATATGGCCTGGCATAGAGGCTGGTACCCCGCCTGGTAGAGATGCCACACTCGCTCCGCGGTTCGCATGGCGCTCTGAAGACGCCGGTGCCCGCCGCCTGGAGGAGCCGCTGCCCCCGCTCCCTGAAGATGGGGGAACAATGAAATAGGCGAGAGGATCCCGGCTCCCCCTCTCTCTCTGGCCCCCTCCCCTCCCCTCCCCTCTCCCTCGGACTCCTCTCCGAGGTAAGTTGTCCGAGAGAGAGCCGGGTCCGACCCGCCGGCGGAGGGGGGGCGGCTCCGGCCACCGGAGGGTCCCCCGACCCCCCCCTCCTGGGGACGGCCCCTCGCGGGGTGGCGGCGGAGGCGCCCGGGGTCCCGCGCCCCCAGGGCTGCCGCTGGGGGCTTGGGAGGGGGCGGCCCGGCGAGGGGCCGGGGTGGGCGCAGATCGCCGGGCGGCCGCTGAGGCTGAGACGGGACCACCCGGAGTCGGTCCTCCCGGAGGAACCGGCGACCTTCCCCGTTAGAGAGAGAGAGAGAGAAAGGGAGAGAGAAGGAGAGAGATTTGGATTTTCCCCCATCAACCCCGAAAACACAACGAGATCAGGAGAGCGATATGGGAGGGAGGCCGTCTGGCGGGGGGCAGGGGGTCCCCGGCCGCAGGGGAGACGGCGGGTGGGCCTCCGGGTCCCCTCCGCGCGCCCGGTGCCGGGTCCGAGCCGCCCGGAGCCGCCGGGAGCCGCCGGAGCCCGGGCCGCGCGGCCTGAGGAGCCGGCGCTCCGCCCCGGGAGCCGGGCTGCGGGGGTGGGGGCCCGGCTGGGGGCGGCGCGCGGCCAAGTTGCAAATGGAATTGGGGGGCCGAGGGGTGGAGGGGCCGGCGGGGCCGGGGCGCCGGGGCCCGAGCGGGCAGAGGTCCTCGCCGGCGGCCGCCCAGCCCTCCTCCCCGCCGGCAGCCGGGAGGCTCTGGGGCCGGTGCGCCGCCTCCCCGGCGAGATCGCCCTTCCCCGGAGCCCCGGCCCGGCCCCCGCCCGGCCCCCGAGAAGACCCGGGCGCGGGGGGCAGCCGGGGCCCAGCGCGGGGAGCCGGGCCTGGGCCGGATCGGGCGGGCGGCGGGCCGGGCTGGGCGGCTCCGGGCGGGGAGGGCGGAGGAGGGGGCGTCCCGGGCCCTGGCAGGGAGCCCGCCCGGGACTGGGGGGCAGGGGGGACGGGGGGAGGGCTCTGACCCGGGCGCGCCCCTCACTCTGCGCTCTCTCCCTCCGCCCGCGGGCGCCCCCAGGCACCATGCTGACCCGCCTGTTCAGCGAGCCCGGCCTGCTCTCGGACGTGCCCAAGTTCGCCAGCTGGGGCGACGGCGACGACGACGAGCCGAGGAGCGACAAGGGCGACGCGCCGCCGCCGCCGCCGCCGGGGCCGGGCGCTCCGGGGCCCGCGCGGGCCGCCAAGCCGGGGCCTCTGCGGGCCGAGGAGGCGCCGGACGCCGCGCTGGCCGAGGTCAAGGAGGAAGGCGAGCTGGCGGGCGAGGAGGAGGAGGACGAGGAGGAGGAAGAAGGGCTGGAGGAGGCCGAGGGCGAGCGGCCCAAGAAGCGCGGGCCCAAGAAGCGCAAGATGACCAAGGCGCGCCTGGAGCGCTCCAAGCTGCGGCGGCAGAAGGCGAACGCGCGCGAGCGGAACCGCATGCACGACCTGAACGCGGCGCTGGACAACCTGCGCAAGGTGGTGCCCTGCTACTCCAAGACGCAGAAGCTGTCCAAGATCGAGACGCTGCGCCTGGCCAAGAACTACATCTGGGCGCTCTCGGAGATCCTGCGCTCGGGCAAGCGCCCCGACCTGGTGTCCTACGTGCAGACGCTGTGCAAGGGCCTGTCGCAGCCCACCACCAACCTGGTGGCCGGCTGCCTGCAGCTCAACTCGCGCAACTTCCTCACGGAGCAGGGCGCGGACGGCGCGGGCCGCTTCCACGGCTCCGGGGGCCCGTTCGCCATGCACCCCTACCCGTACCCCTGCTCGCGCCTGGCGGGCGCGCAGTGCCAGGCGGCGGGCGGCCTGGGCGGCGGCGCGGCGCACGCCCTGCGGACCCACGGCTACTGCGCCGCCGCCTACGAGACGCTGTACGCGGCGGCGGGCGGCGGCGGCGGCGCGAGCCCGGACTACACCAGCTCCGAGTACGAGGGCCCGCTCAGCCCGCCGCTCTGCCTCAACGGCAACTTCTCGCTCAAGCAGGACTCGTCGCCCGACCACGAGAAGAGCTACCACTACTCTATGCACTACTCCGCGCTGCCCGGCTCGCGGCCCGCGGGCCACGGGCTGGTCTTCGGCGCGTCCGCCGTGCGCGGGGGCGTCCACTCGGAGAATCTCCTGTCCTACGATATGCACCTGCACCACGACCGGGGCCCCATGTACGAGGAGCTCAACGCGTTTTTCCATAACTGAGACCTCGGGGCCGCCCCTTCCTTTTTTTCTTTGGCCTTGGCCCGCGCCCCCCGTCCCCAGCCCCTTGAGCGCGGGGGCGCCCCCAGGGCGCCGGGCGGCGCGGGGTGTGGGCCGCCGGTCCTCCGGTTCTCGGGGCGGCACGGTCCTCTGGGCAACGGGGGGACGGGGGGGGGGCTCCCCGGGGCCTCACTTTCCCCAGGGGACACGCCTTCTCTCTCCCCAAGGGGCTCCCTCCTCCTCCTCTTGCCAGGGAGTTCTTCCCCAGGGGTCCCCTTAGGGCACTGACCTGGAGACACCCTCCTCCCCTACCCTTAGGTTTCCTTCTCCCCTTTCCCCGCAGACCCCAGAGGTTAGAAGGGGGGCAACTGAGCTGTGGGATAGTTCCCCCTCTCATCGTTACTGTTACTTTTCAAACGGGCACGGAGCTGCCGAGGCAGAGCGGAGCCGGGCGCTCCCTCTTTTCCTAACGAGGCCAGAAGCCAGGCGGCCCCAGCCTGGACCTGGGTCGCCTTCACCCCAATCCTTAGTTTCAGCGTTTCGGGATGTTCATTTTGGCGGGAGGGAATGTGGATCGAGAGGAAAGAGAGAAGCCAAGACAATTTGTATCTAGAATCCATGTCCCCCTTTCCCCTTTTTTAAACAAAAACAAACAAACCTACAAAAAAAAAAAAAAAAAAGGCTAAGAGGCGACGGAGGCCGAATGCCAAGTCCGGATCGGAGAGAAAACGCAGTAAGAACTTCTAGAAGCAATAAAAGGCTAAAAAATACTACTACCAATAATAATAAAAAGACATAAATATCTATGCAAGGAGGTTCTGACGGAGCCTAGCGGCCGGCCCGGCCCCAGGAGGCCCCTCCTGGCCGCGGGCGGCGCCACCAGCGCGGATCTGTGCACTTTGGTGAAGTGGGGCCGGCGCCGCCAGCTCCCTCCCCAGGTTCTTACAATCAGAGACTCGGAAATTTGGGGCCCCAGTACCATTGCCCTCACCCCCCCCCGCCCCCGTCCCAACCCGTTGTGCGTCATGCTGGTTTTTTTTGTTTTGTTTTTTTAAAAAAAACAAAACCTGTTTCCAAATTTGTATGGAATGGCAAACTGTTGGGGGTCGGTTTGGGGAGGGAGGGTTTGCATGAGAGACTACACACGCACACCACACCTCACGCACACTCGGGCCGGGCGCTGGCGTCCGGGGGGCAAGGGGAGGAGAGCCCCGTGGCTCCCCTCCCCTCGGGCACCTGCACCCCTTCCTGTGGTGGGGAGACTGGAGGCCAGGATCTGGGGGCAGCTCCTCCCCGCCAGACTGTGCTCCCGCAGGCGCCAGCGCCCAGCGATTCCGGTGGCTGGAGAAGGGGTTTCTGTCCGAGTTGTCTGTCCTCTGGGCTCAGGCTGGCAGGTGGGCAGGAAGAGGGCTGAGGGCTCCTTCTGGAAGCTCTTCCCCCCCCCAAAAAAAAGGGGCAAAAGAAGACCCTCTCCCCACCGGAGGCAGGAGATCAGGCATCCCAACACACGGTGCAAAATGCAAACCCGCAGGCGACACACCCACTCACCCACCCGCACACCCACACGCAATTTCACCTTCCTCTTGTAGCGAAGATTCAACTCCCGTCGGACACCCGAAGTGCATTGCGTGTTTCTGTTCAGTTTCATGACGATTAATAAATATTTATGTAAATGAGATGCAAAGCCCGGACCAGTTTCTCACGGTGGCCTCGTTTCATTCCAGGGACTGAGCTGGGGCTCTGGGTGATGGACAGTCCAGTGGCTGTGCAGAGCCAGGCAGAGGGACCCTGGCCCTCCTGGTGGGATTCCCACCCTGGAGATCCCGCACACCCAGCCACAGGGCACCCAAACAGCTACACTCACTGTGCCTCCCAGACCCTACACACACACACACACACACACACACACACACACACGCACACACACGCCCAGCACAAAGCATTGCACTCATCTCCTTACAATCCTTCAGCTCCCAAACATGCACGCAGCGCACCTCCATGGGAAACTATTATTATTATTATTATTATTATTATTATTATTTTATCACTGAAAAGTGACCGAGTTGGGAGCAGCCAGTTATTTGACAACCCTCTGCTCACTGTGGCAACAAAAACAAGTGTGCGGGGATCAACAGACAACCATGTAAGCCAGACATGGCTATTTTTAATTTATTTTAAAAAATGATAAGGTCATGAGGGTGGAATATGAATGGAGGAAATCTTTTCCGTCTTAAATTTGTATTCAGTGGACTCCGGGGAATGTTGAAATCTGTAGGGGTGCTGATGAGGCTGATGGAACACTCCAGAACTCTAGAGGATGTCTCAGCCTAGGCACCCACCAGGAAAAGTGGAGCCCAACCTAGCTCTGAGCTTCCCGGGCAGGGCAGTGGGAGCCTGCTGGTTCACAGCCTGCTTCCTGCCTGATGCATCCTCAGCCCAGGGAGGCGGGGGAGGGCTCCTTGGAGGAGGTTGTCTTGCCCTCGGCTCCCCCACCCCGGACATGGTAGCCTCTGACTTCCCTGAAAGGATTCTCCGTCCAAAAAGCACCGGGCACCCACGGGACCCCTGGTATATCTGGAAAGGGGGCCAGGTCTCAAGGACCCTCCTCCCAAAGCCTGAGGACGCTTAGGGAAACCGGCACCCAGCTGTCTCTCACGCTGCTCACATCAATTCTCTTTTTAAAAACATTGTTTCTTGTTTTAGAACCGCAGTGGGGGCCGCAGTGTGTGTGGGTTGGGGGCTTGAGGTCCTGGCGTGCTAAGGCTTCCCAGATCCCCAAATGACAGCACCCTGACACAGTGGGAAGTGGAAGGAGAAAACCCCAAATGCAAACGGGTGGATCGTATTATACTGACCTTCAGCTGGGCATCCCCCCTAAGTGACCACCCCAAATCCGCTCAGTAGAGACACGCCCCTCCCTCTCCCCCCACTCCACCTCCGGATGGTGCTGAAGGAGAGGCGCCCAAAGTGGGAGCTGTCCCAACCCCGGTGCTGACTGTGCTGCAGCCTCGCGCCTTCCCTCCGCGGAGGGAGGTCGCGCCAGGAGTACCAAACCGTCAGAGGCCCTCCCCAAAGACCTGCCAGAATTGTTCCCATTTTCCGGAGAATGTCCCTGTACTTTAAAAAAAAAATCCACTTCCTTTTCTAGAATTCTCATAAGATCGCCTCTCTGGAGTGAGATAAAAACTGGGCCCTCATCTCCTGAATCTGCCCCTGGAGGTAGTGAAAGGGACTCTTACCGATCTCTGATATCACCCCCATTCTTGGGAGAAAGGAGTTGACCCACCTTCCTTCTCCCCCACATTTTGAGTGGAATACGGAGCAAGGAGCACATCCTAGACCCAAATCTGCTCAGCTCATGGGGGGTAGGGGCGCCAAGGCCTGGCAGGGGCAACTGGCGGAAAAAGCAGCTCAGCCTCCATCCTGAGCCCCGAGTCTCCACCTGCCGCGGGAGCCAGGTGAACTGAACCCCTCTCCCGCTCCACGGGTTTCCCACAATCCTCCAGCACCAGGCGGCTTGGGGCTGGAAGTAAAGTCCCTCCACCTGGCCCCCCTGACAGACTACAGACTCCTCAGCTTTGCTCTTCAGGCTGCTCCACACAGCTCAGCTCCGTTTCCAACGCCTGGCTCCAGCCCCTTTTCAAGGGATGTCGGTGGCTCTGGGGCCATTGTGTCTGTGGTCACAGCGGAGGGGTGGGGGCGCGCCTGGACCCCTTTTGGGAGTGGGGATCCTGAGTGCCTGGGCCTTTCCTCCAATTCCTAACCCTCCCCCCACACTCCCTGCACTCTGGCTGCACTCTACCCTCCCCTTGCCCTCCTCACCAAGCTCAGCTTCCCTGGCAAGATGGTGAGATGAGCACGAGAAGAAGATGTGTGCGGACACAAGGCCCCAAACTCCCCCTCGCAGTCCTCTCCTCTTGCTGGCCTGTGTGCACACTCAGGGAGAGGCTCCGGGAACAGAAGGGGAGGATGGCGGAAAGGGGCCGGAGTGGTGGAAGGGAGGGACTAGGGAGGGACGCCCTCCTGGCCCCAGCCCTAGCAGCAGGGACCTCCAGGGGGCACCTACTGGCTCAGCACACCCCCGAGCTGGAGTCCAGACCCACCAGGAGGGCGTCTTCCCTTTGGTTTCCCCACCCCCACCTAAAGCGCAGCGTTTGGAAATGACAGGGAAACAGAGACGTCTTGGAGAGTTCAAGCCATTTGTCCATCCAGAAGGAAGGTGGGAAGCGCCATTGCTGCTTCTCCCCTCTCCCCTTCCCTCCTTTCCAGCGGGGAAGGCCACCGCATGCCCTTGACCCCGAGAGACAGCCCCATCAGTGACCCAGTAAACAGCCCAATGGGAGCCAGCAGCAGGGAGCCCTGGCACTCCCCAGACGCTGTGGGTTGACTCCATGGGTTGCTTCTCTCTCTCTGGTTTTCCTTCTACGGGAAAGCTCACAAGCCTGTGGCACAAGGTTGGGATTTTGTTCCCTCTTGGGTGACCTTTGTTTTCTTCTTTTCCCCAGAATCTGAAAAGTTGCCTGTTGATTGGAGGGGCATTGACACGGAAGGCTAGCTCTAGATTCCATGGTTCCGTTCTCACGGAAAGCAGGAAGATGTGCAGGCCAGGCCCGCCCAGCCTTGGCCTCGAGCTCACTCCCAGGTTCCCCGTGTGCAGCAGGGTCAGCCAGGCCTCCCCCCACGGCCTGCTCCTGCTCCCCAGAGAGAAAGCTGCTTTCCCCAGGAAGGGGCGAGAGGCCTCGGCTGTCAAACAGGCTTCCCAGCTCCCCGTGGCTTTTCTTTCTGAGGGCTGGGTCCCCCAGGCACTGGCCACAGGCTCAGAGAGGATGGGACCACCTGGGCTGGGAGAAATCTTAACGCCCTGCCCCCCTTCCAAATCCGGAAGCGGTTTCTTTAAAAATTCTGGACCGTTTTTTTCCTGGGTGAGAAGCGGTCAGAAAGGGCACAGACACCCCAGGGGGGCTGAGCTGCTCTTGTAAACTTTCTCCACCCTAAAGCCCCCT